GCAGCTTGGAAAGAAAATTCCTTTGCTTGGCATTGAGGAGTTAGAAAACAGAAAGCCAGCATGATTCTGGAAACACATGCTCTGTCTGACAGTCTCCTTGTTTTCTCCACCATCTTCCTTTATTGTTAAGTTACAGCCCACTTTGGCTGCACATTGGAATTACCTGAGGCTCTCACTTCTAACTGTGTGTGTGTGTGTGTGTGTGTATCTATCTATCTATCTGTCTGTCTGTCTATCTGGATGGCCAGGCTGTATCCCAGACGTGTTAAATCATAATCTTGAAGCAGGTGGGGAGAGGCATCTGTATGATTTAAAAGCCCCACAGGTGATTTTAATGTGTAGCTAGGATTGACAAGTACAGCTCTCAGAAGTGCTTTCACTTCTTTGCCACCTTTCTTTACTGCAGTACATTGTTTGCAGTTGATCTTCAGTCCCACTTTCCCCTCACTTTATTTGGTGGAGGATAGAAGTACTCTGGAAAATTTCCCTGTCTGCCATGCAGGACAGAAGTCAGCCTGAGGCTGAGGGCATTAGGGAACAGCTTAACTTCTTTCGTCATGAACACAGGATTTGATGTACTTTGCTGTATCAGTAATAATAACCATAGCTAACATGTTTTGAACAGTTAATATGCCTAAATACTCATATATGTTAACTCATTTACTTTAATAACAACACTGTGAGAGATGTATAATTATTATTTCTGTTTTCCAGATGAGGAACCTGAGACTCAGAGAGATTAACTAATATGCCCAAGGTCCTCTAGCCAGTAAGTGCTCAGGCTGTAATTAGGATGCACATTTTTTTTTTTTTTTTTTTTAGAGTCTCGCTCTGTTACCAAGGCTGGAGTGCAGTGGCATGATCTTGGCTCACTGCACTCTCTGCCCCATGGGTTCAAGTGATTCTCCTGCCTCAGCCTCCCAAGTAGCTAGGACTACAGGTGCATGCCACTATGCCTGGCTAATTTTTTCATATTTTTAGTAGAGACAGGGTTTCACCATGTTAGCCAGGATGGTCTCGATCTCCTGACCTCGTGATGCACCTGCCTCGGCCTCCCAAAGTACTGGGATTACCAGTGTGAGCCACCGTGCCTGGCCTAGGATGTATTTTTTAATTACTGTCCTATATGACCTTATAGTACAGTGAAATATACTATACCTGTAAATCTGAGAGATGAAGTCTTCTCAAGCTGTCAAGCTGCAGGTATCTTTCATTTACTGAGAATTGGTCATATGCATCTGTTTTTGTTTTGTTTTATTTTTTGTTTTTGAGACAGAGTCTTGCTCTGTTACCCAGGCTGGAGTGCAGTGGTATGATATCGGCTTACTGCAACCTCCGCCTCCTGAATTCATGTGATCCTCCTGCCTCAAGCCTCCCAAGTAGCTAGGATTCTATTTAGCTCTTGGGTGTATGTGGTGGGGGCTGATGAAGAGCTGGTGTGCAGAGGGCTTCATTCTAGGTCAGTCAGATTTTTTTTTCTGGGAATACAGGCATGTGCTGCCACACCTGGCTAATTTTATTGTATTTTTAGTAGAGACAGGGTTTCACCATGTTGGCCAGGCAGGTTTTGAACTCCTGACCTGAAGTGATCCCACCTGCCTCTGCCTCCCACGTGTTGGGATTACAGGCATGAGTCACCCACCGCGCCTGGTCAGATTCTAGCATTGGCAAATTCAGGATTTGGTGGATGTCTCTGATGGAATCACTTGAGCTGTGCAAGTTCACTTTTTAAAATTTTCAGACTGCAAACCAGTTCTGAACCAAGAAGGTGGCTTTCTCTGCAACCACTTACCATTGCCAGAAAAGAAGGAGATGAATAATATAGATCACTTCAGTTTTTGCCAGTTTTGCTGAGGATGGGGTTATGTGTCCACTGCGATACACACGTATGTGTGTGTGTGTGTGTAAGTGTTGTTTACGGTAATGAGTTTGATTTTGTTAGCAAGGGGTTGAATTCATCTCATACTTTGCCTTTCCTTTCCTTGTACCTTAAATCGTTATAAGAGAACATGTTTTCTGTGATTTTCATTAAAATATGATAGTTTAAGGGTTGTTAATTAACTCTTTTCATGTAATTGGGAGCCTACAGTGTTTCATCTGTGTTCTATTGGCGGTATAATGGAAGAATAGTATTGGCATTTTTTAAAAGGCTTCAAAACCATTATCTGATGTTTTAAATAGAAAAGAATTCTTAATGTCAACATGAGATCATGGTTTTATAAGCCTTTATTGTTTGCTTTGTATGTCTATTAAGTAGGTCACCAATAATAGAATATTAAATCAATTTTGGTTTTTCAAGTTTATCTATAGATACTTTTAAATGTCAAGTAACCTAAAATCAAAGTCTCTTAATAAAATCAAAGACTCTTAATAAAGTATTTATATATGTATTTTTTGAAACAATATAGTAATAAGACATAGGACCACAGACTACCCAGCAATGGTGTAGTGAATATTTTTAGAAGTTCTTATTAGTTCTTGTTTCTTTCTGTTAAAAAGATAGGGACACGTTTCATTTGTTTTTCAGCTCCAAAGAATTTAGTTTATACTTAGCTCTTGGGGTGCATGTGGTGGGGGCTGATGAAGAGCTGGTGTGCAGAGGGCTTCATTCTAGGTCAGTCAAATCTTTTTCTGTTGATTTTTTTTTTTTTTTTTTTCTGAGACAGAGTTTTACTCCGTTGCCCAGGTTGGAGTGCAGTGGTGCATTCTCCACTCACTGCAGCCTCCACTTCCTGGGTTCACACGATTATCCTGCCTTAGCCTCCGAAGTATCTGGAACTACAGGCGAATGCCTCCACGTCTGGCTAATTTTTCCACTTTTAGTAGAGACGGGTTTCTGCCTTGTTGGCCAGGCTGGTCTTAAACTCCTGACCTCAAGTGATCTCCCCACCTTAGTCTCCCGAAGTTCTGGGAATACAGGCATGATCTGCTGCGCCCAGCCTGTAAATGTAATTATTTTCAGAAGAACTATATCTTTACATGTACACATGCACCTAATTTATGGGCTAATTCTCAAGGATTCTTTTGGAATGTGGCTTCAAAATATTGTCCATTAATTCTTGTTTGATTGGTCCTGGTATACTAATACAACTTCTGGACATTGATGGTATAATCTCGTAAATATCTGCCAGTTTGAATGAGGATTTTAGGACTTTGGTACCACCATCACAGTAGGCATTCTGAATCCTTTCAACCACCGTAGGAGAAAACAAGGCATGTGCTTTAGTATGTTAATTGTCTGTTTCTGGGGTGTTCTTTGCCCCAGTGGATAGAATCATACATTTCTAGAATTAAGGACCAGATTATCTGGGACATTCTCGCAGCCACTGGTTTCAGATTTTTTTATTTCTGTTTCTAGATTATGCATAGAAATAGGAAACTCTGGTCTTTTTTTTTTTTTTTTAAAGAAAAACTCTTTTTTTGTTTTTTTGTTTTGTGGATAAATCCATAAAGATGAATGTTCATATTGTGACTAGCCTGGGCAATATAGTAAGACCTTATCTCTACAAGAAATTAAAAAAATTTAGCTGGGTATGGTAGCATGTGCCTATGGTTCCAGCTGTGCAGGAGGTTGAGGTGTATGGTTTGAGACAAGGAATTTGAAACTGCAGTGAGCTGTGATGGTGCCAGTGCACTCCAGCCTAAGTGACAGAACACAATCCTGTCTCTTAAAAAAAAAAAAAAAAAAAGAAGCCTGGGCACAGTGGCTCACGCCTGTAATCTCAGCACTTTGCGAGACCAAGGCGGGTGGATCACGAGGTCAAGAGATCAAGACCTTCCTGGTCAACATGGTGAAACCCCGTCTCTACTAAAAATACAAAAAGTTAGCTGGGCATGGTGGTGCGTGCCTGTAATCCCAGCTACTCAGGAGGCTGAGTCAGGAGAATTGCCTGAACCCAGGAGGCGGAGGTTGCCATGAGCCGAGATCGCACCATTGCACTCCAGGCTGGGTAACAAGATCAAAACTCTGTCTCAAAAAAAAAAAAAAGAAAAGAAAAGAAATCAACCTGATGATTCACTGACTTTCTGGTGCCAGTCAAGTTGCTGGCCCTGGGATGAGCTGCAATTTAGACTTCCTGCAGCTATTCTGCTCTGTCATTGATCTTAGGTGATTCTTTTCTTCTCATTTAATGTGTTCAAAACATTATATTCTCAACTGTGAGGATACCTGAAAATGATGCTTTGATTAGACATGAATGTGTGGATTGAGGGTTTTTTTTTTGTTTGTTTTTTTGTTTTTTTTTTTCAATAAAGGATTTTTAAGTACACAACTTTCCTCCCTACTTAGTGGGTAATGTTTCCAAACAGTTTAACATATCTTCCCCAGTTAGTGAAATGAGTCTGAATTTCTGGTCACGACTTGGTAACTGATAATCTCATCTGAAAATAGTTGTTCTTAGATGAATCCTTCATAATTTTTTTGCTTTGTCAATAAAGCAGACGTGTGTCCTTGAGTCGAATGCAAACCTGCTCTACTTTCTAGAAGCTGATTTTCTGAATACAACTCATTATAGTATCACAGACTAATAGTGCTGGGTGGAACTTCAGGGGAACACCTGCCTAAATCCTTTCACAGGACCAAGTGCTGAGCATCAGAAAGGAAAAGAGCCTTGTCATATGTCACCTCTGCTGGCTCATGGGTGTTCCTAATGACCTAGGGAGAACTGAAATTTAGCTTCGTGGGCTCATGTCTGCTTTTTCTTCCTGGCTCTTGAAAATAGTAGCCCGGCTGGGTTTGGTGACTCACACCTGTAATCACATTTTGAGAGGCCAAGGTAGGAGGATCACTTGAGCCCAGGAGTTTTGAGACCAGCCTGGGCAACACAGTGAGACCCTGCCAATACAAAATAAAAAAAAGAAAAGCAGAAGCCCCTTTTCTGCAGCCTCTTCCCTACCCTACCTCAACCTAGTAAGAAGACAATGGGGGTTAGTTGGGTTCCCAGGCTTCCTGCAGTAAACTTTTGACAATATTGTAATGACGCTTTCCTTTTTTCTTTTAGCAATAGGCGAGTATGAAGACCTTAGAGCAGAGAACCAGAAAACAAAGGAGAAGGTTTGTACTTTATTTACCCTTTTTCTCCCCTTTCTTACATGTGTAAAAGCCTAGGCCTCATAGTGCATTGTTCAGTCACCAATTTCAGTTAAATGTGAATGAGGGTTCTTTTTTGTTTTTCTTCCCTTTTTTCTTGCATGTGTGCTTCAAGCTAATACCAACTCCAGGCTCCAGATGGTAAAGAATAGCAGCCATGCCACAGTGGGTGCAGCTCTGGGAGATTAACTACATGGCTAAATGTGCATCAAGGCACCAGGCCAAGCAACTCAAGTCCCCAGGAATTGTACTTTTCCCCTAACAGTCAGATTTGGGATTCTGTCAGTGGAATTGAAGGCTTGATACATGTACTTTGGGGACCTAGACACATTGGGTCCTGGAGAAAACTCTTTGGAATTAGTCATATTTGGCCCCAATACTTCCATAAACCTTTTGTATGTTTGCTTCCTCTATCTCTATGAACAATACACCGGAAGTTGAAAAGCATCCCATGTGAAGGTGGGGAAGTGTGATGAATATTTTCAAGGGCTCTTTCAGTTTTGTTTTAACTGTTAAATAATTGAATTCTATTTACTTTACAAACTGTATCCTTATCACTTAAATATCTAAGATTTGTGAATGCTTGCTAAGATATATAGCTAATACTATACATATACATATATATTTTTTCTTTTCCTTGTAAATTTAGGGAGGAAACAAATGGAAGGACAGGCTAAGGTCAGAAACATACAGGGACTGAATAGCAAATGAAAAATAGGAAGCACACTGTCTATTTTTGGTTTTAGATACAAACAAAATTTACTTTAAAAAATTACTTTGGTAGGCCAAATATTTCAGAATATAATATCCCTGGTAGAAAATTAATAAAACAGGTCCCTAGTAGATATTAAAGAAGATAGCCATCACTGCTATAAATTGTGAAACCTCATTTTTAAAATTTCAGAGTAAGAGTTGTAATAAAAATTGGCAGCAAGCTAAATATTTGTAAAACTTATGGGATATTTGGGATCACTTATTGGGCTCTTTAGAATTATATTTTACTTTTTCACTATTAATTTGCCACGTATATAGCTGTAGTATGGGTGGTGAATATTAATGGTGAATACTCTAGTTCAAAGCAGATTATAATGGATTTTTAGATAATTATTTTTCACCTATTTTTAAGGCTCCTTTGCTTATTAGTAAATAAATCCTTCATGTTCTGTGAAATCTTAAGTTTCTTCTCTTGCCTTCATTGGTTGTTCAGGGAATGGTAGGCAAAGGTGATAGAAGACATCCATGTTAAAAGGGGTAGTGCATGCATCTATAACATGGTAAGAAGCACTTTGGGAGGCTGAGGTGGGAGGATCGCTTGAGACCCAGAATTCAAGACCCGTCTGGTCAACATAGTGAGACCCCCATCTTACAAGAAAAAATTAATTGGGCATGGTGGCATGCACCTGTAGTTCCTGCTACTTGGGAGGCCAAGGCAGGAGGATCCCTTGAGCCCTAAAGGCTGAAGCTGCAGTGAACAGTGATTGCACCACTTTATCAGCCTGGGTAACAGAGTGAGATCTTGTCTCAAAACATGTGCGGACACACACACACACACACACACACACACACACACACAGTAAGAAAGTCACAAAAATAGTAATATGGAAAGATTCCTAATTCCAACCCTGTAACCATGCAAAATCACAAATGTCCTGAGGACATAAACAGGTAAGAAGGTTGTGCTTAGATCCTGGGCGCCCTGATGCTTAGGCTGGATAACTTGAGCCTCTTGCTCTAAGATACTCAACTGTCTTCCAGCTCTAGGAGAACAAAGAGGCTGAGATGTTATCAGTCATTGAGTCTTTTCATAGCTGCTCCTGACCCACGAGAAGAACAAAGCAAGTTGGAGGAGTTAATTCAGGAGCACTCTTTGACTTAACCTAGAAGGTAAGAGGAGGGAAAGCAAACAGCTGTCTTCATAGCATAGAGAAAGAAGGATGGTAGAAGAAAATGAATAATGTGAGAGGAAGAAGGTTAAATTTTTTATTTATTCTTTTCTTCTTTAATCCTTGCTTACATGTAGACCTAGCAGTATCCTAAAAATACATAGTAGATGCTCTGTACACATCTATTGTTCGTGGAGATGATGGTTGTTTAACTGACAGCCACTTTCTGTCATGAGGTTTTAAGTAAATCATCTGCTATGCAAGTGGTATTATAGGTAAAATGCATTTGGTAAAAGGAGGATTATAAATTACCTCAGCCCATTAACTGTTTACATGTTTTTCTGCGTAGAGTATGGCCTAATACTTTCATAACATCTGTAGGCATTATTGATCTGCTTCTGTTGTAATTCTTTAAAAATAACTATTAACAGAAATGGGAAGAAAGGAAATGAAAGCAATATGGAATGCTGTGTGGTTGGGTGGAACAAAGTAGAGTGGTTTTAAGTTCACTGCACTCTGTTTATCTTCTGTTAAAAGACTAGCTTGCTTATTACTGCAGATTTTTCCCCAAAAAGGGGGGGCTGTATTACAAAGGAGGGAAGCATATAATAAAAGCCTTTTACAGAGTGTAGAATGAGTAAAAGCAGCTTTAGTTCCGGAGGTGGTAAATACAGAACAGCATTTTCTCTGGGAAAGCACTCTCTTGTGCCTGGCCGGGTGAGCTTTGTCCAGTTGACATCAGCAAATACATGTGGCCATCCTTCCATTGTAGCCCCAGACCAGAGTACAGTTAAATCGCTCAGGGACAGCAAACTAAAGTAAGACTCCTTTTTCCATGGTTAATTTGATGTAGGGAAATTTAGAATGAACAGAGGAAGAAAAAATTAATAAATGAATAAATTGCAAGGTATTTCTGCCTTCCACATGCCTACGTTCAGTCTTTGTGTACAGGCCATGAACCTTATCAGTTGGAAGAGGCAGTGGATGTGATTCCTTTGGGTAGGATCTTTTACTGCCCTGTTTGGGGTATTTTCTGTTGAGACAAATGGTCTGATGTAGTCTTCAGGGAAACTAGTTGCTTAGGCTGCATGGAGTAAGAAGCTGCTATGGGACATTCATGCTTTCTTCTCCCTGTCTCATTCTCTGAACAGCAGTGTGTCCGCTCTGTTTCACAGAGGAGAGAACAGTACCACAGGGCTTGAGTGAGTTTCCCAATGTTACACAGATGATGGCAGAGTCTAGATTCAAACGTCAGTCTTCTGACCACAGTGTTCTTTTAGAAAGCAGGTGAACTGTGAGAGCTTATTGACTCTTTGTCCACAAAGGTCCTAACTTTATTCTAATTCTGTATTGTTAGTGCATGAATTTTCCACAGCAAATATCAGACTTGATCCTTTTCTGGGTCATTTGTCTTTACAAGCTATTGGTTTATGTGGAAAACTGAGAGTTAAATATAAACAACAAATCAATCTTACGTCAAAGAATTCACATATGTGTGTGTATATGTATGTGTGTACTTGTATGTATGCACATAGATTCTAGCATAATGCATCCCAAGGATAAAAGCAGGAAAGTTGGGGCAGGGGGAATGGACCAGTGTTTTAATGGATCTTTTTCTTTTTTTGGTAGTTCTCCCATTTTAGGAAAATTGCTGACTATTTTATGGTTTTTATCAATGACTTTGAGAATGGAGTCTGTCTGTTTGAGTTCATAAGAAAAGCTCTTTTAAAGGGAAACCTTTTTATTGAATGCCTTCTGAGTACTGGGGTATAAAGAAAAATATATGAAGGTCCTACCCTTGAGACCACAATCAATTATGCTGCTCTAAGTGAGTGCCTAGGGCATGGCTGGGCAATGGACAAAGAACAAAAAGACAAGGATCCTACTTTTTTCAATGTGACAAACTTTTACTGACGTTTAATGCTTGACTTAAATGTCACTTGTGTTTTGCAAAGTCTTCTCTAGCTCTCTCACAAGCAGAATCAGTTGCTTTTTTGGTAATAATAAAACATCTGCATATTTCTTTATGCATGTATCTTATTTATCAAGCAAAATGTATTATTATCAAAATATTGGCATACAAGCAAATGGTGTGGTTGCCTTAAAATGTTAAAACAATGAGATTTCTTTTGTTTTTTTAAACATCAAGATAAATGGGGATTATGGAAAGGGTGTTACTTGCTACTTTCCATTGTTTTTTGCCCATTTTTTAAATGGACTTAGCAGTATGTGAAAAAGTAAGAGCCTATCATACTGACATGAATAACTCTTCAAATTTATATTTTTGAGGTATGGAAAAATAGATGACTATATATTTTGCAATCAACCAAATAAAATGGTTTACTTTGCTTGTGTGGCAATCACCATATTCAAATGTTAGTCATGCCTCCACAATTGAAGGGCATTCTCTTATGACTCACTCAGGATCTTTGTCATAATTGTTTGGTCTTTTTTTCCCTATATGCGGGGAAAAGCGTCATTGAGCTTTGAATGGAGTAGCTTTCACGTTTCTCAGAGTGGTGGGGTTGGGGGTGTGTGTGGAGTGTGCATAAAAAGAAGGAAATCTGTATAATAGAAGAATGTCTGCCTTTAAATAGTAAGTATTTATGTTTAGTATTATGTTCTGAGATCGAGTTTTGAAATGCATAAATGTTTAAGTGGCTGATTAGAAGTCGTTTGGGTGAGCTACTATAACAGTGCATCAGGCAGTTCTGTCAGCTTGCCAGGAACAATGAATGAAAAGAGAATGAGACACACTTTCCAAGACTTACGTTTCAAGAAGCGGGATATATGATACTGTTTGCATCTTGGCTCAGTTGTCTATTGTTGAAATTTCTTCCTCTTGTGTAATATTCAGGGATGAAGGTCCCGATGTATTTTATTTTTTAAAAAATCAATAAAGAAGCCACTTTAAAGAGCAAGATATGCATCCATTATGCTAACTGTTCATGCATAATACATCCACATACATGCAGTTTCTTTGAGACAGAGTGGCAAGTGGTTGTGCCAGAGAAAAAGTAATTACTTAGCAGTTTGAAAGTGAAAATGAGTCTCTTATTAACAGCAATCTATCTAGAAACA